ATCGCTATTCAGAATTCAAGAGGGAACTTGGAGACAAGAGTCTTTCCGCCCCATCTCAGCAGTCCTGGAATCCATTTCCTAATCAATGAGATAGCCCCTGGCAGGACTGGTTCCAGGTTCAGGTCCCTCCATCAAGGCATCCTCTGTGGGGCTCCTTAGCTCAAGGAGATGATGCAGCCTACGCATTTCCCTCCACCCTATCCCCGTGAGATGGGTACTCTTTTTACCAAATTTGGAAGAATAGAAGGCTGAGTGAACCTCGAGCCGGCTACCTGGGACTGAACCTACGTCACGAGCGGAGTTTTGGCTGCAGTACTGCAGTTCAACCACGGCACCACCAAGGGCAACCTAAAAGCTGCATCTCTCCTCTTTCTACCAAATGAGAAACGTTTTGGCTGCAGTACTGCAGTTCAACCACCCAGGGCAACTTAAAAACTGCATCTCTTCTCTTTCTACCAAATGAGAAACTGACCCAGATGACTCACCTATCCAGGAACACTTGAAGCAGGATGGGCCACCATATACTCCCGACACTTTATCCAAGAACAGACTTATTTGCCCGAGAGAATCCAGGACAGAAATGTTCAGGGAGAGTCAGCGCTGCTGATTTTAAAAGGTCTCACAATGACCACCGCTTTGAGAAATGGCGGCATGGCAGCCCATTGTTTAAGGAGGCATTTTCTGCCTCCCATATTCTATTTAGCCTTTGTACAAGGAGCCTTTCACAAGCTTGGAAGAGCAAAGATCAAGGTTTCAACTCTTAACTTCATGTATCCTGGGGCTGGGAATTTTTTTTTTCCAAATCTTGGGTCTTAGTTCTTTCATCCTTTGAAGTGAAAAGCAAAGTGTGCTGCTTAAATCCCACCCCTTAGCTCTTAAAGCACTTTCTGGGCAGTTTACAATTTAATTATGCAAGCTACACAATGCCCCCCCCCGCCAGCGAGGTGGGTACTCAGTTCACCAACCTCGGAAGAACTGAGCCAACCTTGAGCCGGATACCCGAGTCCCTTGGGATCAAACACAGGCTGTGAGCAGAGTTTTTGACTGCAGTACTGCTGCGCCACAAGGCTCTTTAAGACATTAATATTAATATTAACCACAACAACACTCTTACCATCAATTCTCAAAAGCAGACATGGTTCTTGACAACAGATTCTGTTCACCCACCGTTTCTTCAGGCCTCTTCTCATTACGACCACACCATCCCCTGCTATGGCAACTCTTTCATTAAAAATAACAGCTAAATCCTCCAGTCAGGATTTTTTTTTCCAATTGCATTTTTGGGTGCTTTCTATGTAAAAACACAAGAGCAATGAGAAAGGGTTGAACCAGATGAACCAGGTTGCTTGTAATACTGATGTGCGGCACATACCTCACAGCGACACATGCTCTCTTCGTGGGATTACTCAGTTAGGAAGTACATTCTGAAGAAATAACCAGAAGGTTCTCCATCATCGTTTGCAAACGGAGAAAAATCTGCCAAGGAAAACAAGCCAGAAAGCATAGCCTGGAAAATAAAGATACATCAATCACATTCCAAGAGTGCAAAAAGCCAGGGAACCTGGGTGAAAGGCACCCATTCCAATGAAGGAGATAATTGCTTTTGGGTGTGGTGTAAGTCCTGGGTTTGATTCCTGCCACTGGCCATTCCCAGCTGGGCAGAGGAGCAACGGGACCCTTTCTGTCCAGTATATATGCCTTGCATGTGAAAACGTGAGATTTGTGTAAATCCCCAACAATTTTAAAGATACCCGAATAAAACCATGATGTTGAGACAGTCCGTTGAATGCTCTTGACTTACTGAAATGTTTTTTTTTTGTGTTTGCAACATCTTAGTCTACTGAAGGCCATGAGGAAGACTTCTGCTGGAGATGTTGGAAGCTCTCAGTTCATCAGATTACACCATTACTAGCTCAGAGACCTTTGGGTAGTGTGGGCAGCATATAAGTTAAATAAATAAATAAATAAATAATGTTGGGATATACCAGGGTTAAGTGGGCCCCCCTGCCAATTTTCCAGTCCTGGGATCTGCCACAGACTAGACCATCAACCAGAAGTGACCAGAAGGTCTCTTCCAGTGCCAAGCACAAATATTTCTCATTAAAACAGAGGATGCTTGTCATAAAGACGAAGAAGTGCTTCCTGGAAGTTTGCAGGAAGGCAATTCATTGTGTGTTCGTGTGTGCATGCACCACTGGCAGCCACCTGCATGCTTCCCACCCCAGGACAGATCAATCAATGAGTCATATGATTAAAAGGCGGTTTCTAATGTCTACACAGAGATGTAGCTTTGGGGGACATGGACCTCAGACTTTCAGGACCTTATTTTCCCCCTCTAACCCTGCAATCCACCAGGTGCAAGCAGATGCTCATTAAGGAAGATTGAAACAATGGAGATAATGATCTAAAGAGCTTCAAAGAAATGCAAATCTATTCCTGAATTTAAATCAGGGGTTATAACAAATCTGAATCAGTCCTAAAATAGCTGCTGTTGAAAAATTTGGGGTCAGGAGTCCTGGTATATTTTAACTATTTTATGAAATTTATTTGTATATAGTATTATTTTTCAATGTGATTTAGTGTGACTATGTTGTGAACCGTGCAGAAAGGGCTTTTTTTACAGGACGATATATAAGTCAATAATTAAACATTGTGCATGTATTGCAACAGCCCCTGAGAGGTATAGCAGCAGATTCTCGTCGCCATCCATCCATCCACCCATCCATCCAGCCATCCATCCATCCATCCATCCATCCATCCATCCATCCATCCATCGCCTATCTGGTCATTGCGACCACTCTAGGCGGCTTCTGTCTACAGGAAACTTCACCGGGTCCAAAACACAGCAGCCAGATTGCTAACTGGCGCTGGGACACAGGGATCACATAACACCACTACCCCATTACAGCTGCTCCCCTGGCTACGGATCTGTTTCTGGGTTAAGTGGGCCCCCCTGCCAATTTTCCAGTCCTGGGATCTGCCACAGACTGGACCATCAACCAGAAATGACCAGAAGGTCTCTTCCAGTGCCAGGCACGAATATTTCTCATTAAAACAGAGGATGCTTGTCATAAAGACGAAGAAGTGCTTCCTGGAAGTTTGCAGGAAGGCAATTCATCGTGTATGTTTGTGTGTGTGTGTATGCGCCACTGGGGGCCACCTGCATGCTTCCCACCCCAGGCATTCGTCTGATCCTTTAAAGTAATTGTTGTCCGCTTTAAAGTACTGACTTTAAATGATGTAAGCCACCTTGGGTCCTCTTTAAAGAGAAAGGTGGTGTTAGAAGATATTTTAAAGAAATAAATTTACACACATCTACTCTTGATATCACACTACTAAAGCCATTCAGACCTCATCAGATTTAGAAGAATCACCCCCTGTGATAGATAGATAGATAGATAGATAGATAGATAGATAGATAGATAGATAGATAGATAGATAGATAGATAGATAGATAGATAGATAGATAGATAGATAGATAGATAGATAGATAAGATGCCACTTTCTGGTTTTAACAATTTGTACAAAATATAATTTGAATCAAACCTTTTGATTCTGTGTGGATGGCTAGATAGATAGGGCTCATTACAGAATGTACTGCTCTCAGAGGGTATACTGCAAAGGATATACTACGGTCTAGGGCAAATGAACAGGATTGTCACAACAGTAAGAAAACAGGAGGGGAAAAAGTCTTGTTAAGACTTTTATGAAGAGGTAAATAACCAACAGAAGCTAAAAGAATGGCCAACAGCGCCACCTCTAGGACAGCCAAGAGTTACACACATGATAACGCCAAGGACAACGGGAGCACTTCTGGTTTCATACTTCAAACCACTGGCACGTCCCCTCTAGTGGTTGTTTAATTACAAAACACTAAAATCACAATTTAGAAAATATTGACACAAACTGTATTAGAGCCTTCAGAAAATTTCTACTTAGAGTAGTATTTCAGCACCAAAAGAAAAGGAAAACAAAACAACAACAAAAAAACCAGGCAGTTCAACTGATACGTGTATGTACAGGATACATCAAAAATCTTAAAATGCTTATGTATAATGTAATCTATACAAAAAAGTTAAAAAGTGTTCCTATATACAGTATTGTTTTACCCTATAAAACCCCCCTCCATGTTTTCATTAGCTAGATGTACAACAGACCGTATCGCT